GGATGAGCGGATGGGTGGCAGGGGAGGTGGATGGACATATGGATGGATGAGTGGATGGGTGGCAGGGGAGATGGATGGACATATGGATGGATGAGTGGATGGGTGGATGGATGGAAGGGGAGATGGATGGACATATGGATGGATGAGTGGATGGATGGGTGGGTATCTGGGGATGGTGGGTGGATGAGTCAATGGAGGGGTGGGGGAGGGCTGGATGCCAGTGCAGACAGTGTCTTCTTTCCTAGTTGACTTTTAATGTTGCTTTTGAAGGACATGACTTGGTGGGAGCAGGGTTTCTTACTCGATGTGGTCACTCCTAGGTGCATTTCAACTGTTATCACCAAAGTTCTGCAAGGCAGCAACTCCTGGATGGGAAACTGAGGCTCTGGGGAGCAGTGCCTGGTCCTGGCAGTCCCAGGGTCACCCAGCCTCAGGGTGCCATGTCCTCTACTCTCAGCCCTGAGGAGCTGCCAGAGCCCAGCCCGGCCCAGCCTCAGGGCACTTGCACCTCACTAGGTGGTCCTGAGGGCAGGCCTCCCTCTCAGTGATGCTATGCTCCCCTCCCTGAACCTGCAGGTGGACAGCTGGTGGGGCAGCCCCCATGACATGGGCACCAGCCATCATCACGGATGCGCTCAGCAGTGGGTGGCCTCTGACTCCTGACCTTTGCTGGGCTCCTTTCTGCTCCCCTGGGTGAGGTGCCCACTGGGGTGTGCCGGCAGCCCTGCCTGGCCTCCACATGCTGGGGCCCAGGGGTCATCTTTGGCTTCCCCCCTCCCCCCAGCCCCTAGGGCTGCTGCTAGGCCAGCCCCTCTATGGAAGCCTGCTAAGGCCACATCCAGATGGCCAGTGTCATGCCTCAATCTGCAGCCACCCTCAGGCCAGCCGTTCACTTGTGAAGGGAAGGGGCACCGTGGCAAGGCAGGGCTGGCGGGGGTGGGGTGGGGGGCCCTGCCACATGCCACACACCTGTATTCTGCCGGCTAGAGTTTATCTCCCTGCGCGGGGACTGAAGCCGGGGTCCCGGCTCAGACCTCCCTGACCTCGGGGTCCAGGCACGCACTCCACCAGCGAGGTGACCCCGGGCACGCAGCGCCCCTCTGGGCCTGTCCCGTCCGTGAGGGGGGTGTCTGGGGGCACCTGCTTGGTGCAGTGAGACTTGGGGAGCTGGCGGCAGAGACCCAGCCTGCCTGGGGCAGCATTTGGCTCTAGTAGGCGGTGACAGGCACCGTGTCACTTTACCCATAAACTAGACCTTAGGGGACTGCGTTCGCAGCACGCTCAGAAGCGCTTCCGCGTGGGGAGCAGAGTCTGGAGGTACTCCCCCGCGCCCTCTGTTGGTGGCTTGGGGGACTCCACAGCCGACTCGGGGAGAAAAGCTGGGCCTGAGCTGTCCCCGCCGCCCTTTCTTTTCTGGCCTGTCAGTGGCCTCATGGGGTGGACAATGAGGGGAGGAAGGCTGGAATCAAATCTTCACAGAGACCTAGGACTTAGCTGAGAACCCATTCATTGTAACTCAAAGACTGGCATCAAATTTATTATTATCTTTTGTTAAATAGTTTAGATCTTTTCGGAGCACATGCTCTACAAGGGCGTGGTAGATTATCTTCCCAGTACATTTTTGTGTGTGCAGTTATGTGACAGGAGGAGAGGTGACACAAACAGGTGGTATGCACGTGGGAGGGGCTTGGGGGACAGGGCCCTGCTCCCGTGTCATAAGCATTGCTCCTCAGATTGAGAACGGCCTCTGGACTTCCACCAGGTAAACCTGAGACCCAGGTCCCACAGTCAGGTGACATCAGAGGAGGGGATCCACTGGGGACAGTGAGGATTACAGTCACACGAGCACTCGACATATCCTAAAGGAACAATACACCGTGGTCGGGGCGGGGGAGGTCTGCCGGGCAAGCCCCTGCTCGCCGCACAGCCGCCTGTCCTGCAAGCGTCTTGTGGGGTGTAGGTGGGCTGTCAATCTCCATGATGCTAACTGGGAGGAGGGTCTTTCTCCTGCCAGGGGTGGGGAGCCTGGGCAGTGAGCTGGGATGGGGGCCTGGGCAGAATGGCTCCAGCCTCCAGAGGGTCCTTGGCTGCTCTCCGGTGAGGGCAGAGCCTTGACCTGCCAGGGCACCGACATCAGGCAGAGACCAGGGGGCAGAAGATAGGGTCTCCCAGGGGCCACAAGAAAGTCCGCTGATTGCTTCATGGCACAGAGCAATGTTGGGTGGTCTTTGGGGCCAGCCCCAAAGCCTTCCTTGGTGGAACCCATGGTGTTCACCTCTCATAAGGATGTTCATGGCTTGCGAGTTGCCTCAGGTGGCAGATCTAGGCCCCGGAGGGAAGAACCAGGCGTTTCTCAAATGGGGCAGCTCTAGACCATCAGCTGGTTCTTCTGATTCTAGGCCAGGAGGTGGGGCTGGGGGCCTTCTCCAGAAAGAGGTGACGATGACCGTGTCTGCTATGATGGCACCTGACTTGGGGGCAGAGGCAAGAATCATCCAGATTCAGAAAGACCTTTCCTGGGCTGCCTTCGGACTGAAGTTTTGAAAAGTAAATTGTTCACAGCAGCTCAGTCTCTGAAGTCCTAATGGAAAAAGTGTGTTGAATAGACCTCAACACTCAGAGGAAGGCGGCTGTAACTGGCAGCACTGCAGATGCTGCCCCTGGAAAGGGTCAGCTGTTTGGCCTCAAGACAGGACCCCTCCCCAGATCCCTCATTTGCTGCTTTGCGATGGAAATATGGCCCCTTCCCTTCAGCCTTTGAAAGGCAAGTGAAGAAAGCCATTCCCCAGGGAAAGGGAAGGCTGTGTGGAGGGACAGTGCTTGGTGCAGGGGCTTGGGGTGGGGGCTGGGAGACCGCAGATGCAGCCTGGCTCCACCTCCATCACCATGTGACTCTCACACCCTCATATTTCTCATTAGAAAATGGGATCATGCCACCACCCACCATCAAAGAGACATTCCCCGTGGGAGTGCCCAGCCCGGGGCTGCCCCTGTGGACACTGAGCTGACTGGAATCTGAATCTGGACTGGGAGAAGGGCCCCAGGCAGGCGTGGGGCTGCAGTCCTGGGAGTCCTGGAGCCTGGGTTCTGCTCTTCCTAGCTACAGATGAGGAAACGTCCCCTGGCCTGAACCAAAGGTGATGAGTTCCCAGCCTAGGCTGCCAGCCCTCTGCTCACCCCGCCAGGCACAGCCCCACCAACTGTTGGAGCTGGGCGCGGGGGCCTTGCCTGGGCTCTCTTAGTAGCTGTTGTCTGTGAAGAAGGGCGTGCGGGTGGCCGGGGTGCAGGTGCCCTCCTCTCGTGGCCCCGCCAGCTCCCCGTACTCGCTGTTGTAGAACACCTGGCCTCCCTGTGCCCCCGGGTCCAGCTGCCGCCGCCTCCCTTGGGGGTCAGGATGCGCCCTGGTCACGTCCACATTCTGGCCGGGTCCTTTACAGCTGCTGAGACAGGGAAGGTGGCGTCAGTAAGAAGAGAAGACGGACAAGACCTGAGGTCTGTCCTTGGGGTCAGACTGGAATCGTCCAAGACAACTGGAGCGTTAACTGATCATGGAGGCAAGGGGGGCACACACAGACCTGACTTAGAGAGGGGACCAGACTGATGAGCCTGTTGGCAAACTCCGGAGCATGCTCAGTGGGTCCACAAAGAATGCCCAACTTCATCCCCCTAAACCTGCCTTTCTCCCAGTCTTGCCCATCTCTGTACACGGCACCAACACTGACCCAAGGGCTCAAGCACCTGGGTGTCATCCTTGCTCCCTCCCTTCCCCTCCCCCTCATGTCCAATGCAGCCAGAAGTCCTATCTGTCCTAACCCCAGGATGCATCCATGCCCCTCTCCTGCCGTGCCCCTGCCTCAGAGGCAGGGGCCCTCACTGTCCTCTCTGCAGTCTCCCCCCTACTGCTGCCTGCCTGCAGTCCACTCTTCAGAGACACTTCAGCTTAGACGACGTCGTTCTCCTGACACGTCCTCCAGACCTGGATCAACGCCAGACCGCACGGGGGCGGTTTGCCTCCTGAGTGGACACAAACAGGCTGGGGGAGTGACCTGAAGTGAGGACGAGTTAGCTCCCCCCAGAGTGAGTGCCGACCAGCGGCTAACGGGAGACAAAAGAACTGGGCATCTCCCCACAGACCCCTCCAGGGCACATTCTATCGTTGCCTGTTGGGAGAAGGGCAAAAAGGCCAAGTCGCTCACAGCGGCTTCCTATCTCTCAGAATGACATCCAAGCTTCTCACCCTGGCCTGGGGGTCCTGCAGGTGCCAGCCTGCTGCCTCGCAGGTGGCCCTACGATGCTCCCTCCTGAGCTCTCACTTTCTTTGAGTTTTTGGAAACGTTGCTTCATTGCTTTGTTGCTCTTTGATTCGCATGGTGCCACTGAGAAGCCTGATGCCAATCTGACTATTTTCCTAAGTGACTCGGTCTGTGTGCCTGAATTCCCAGATGTTTATCTTTCAAGTCTAATAGTTCTACTAGGATGTCTTACTTGACTGTTCTGGGCCAGTCTACCCTTCCAGTACATAGATTCAGAGCTGTTATTTTATTTTTAAGAGTGATCTTGAAGTACAAGTTTAAAATATTAGCTCTATTCCACTGCTGGCATCTTCTTCCTCAGAGACTCCAATGGTACACATATTGGATCTTGTCCACTCCACTTCTATATCCATTTCCTTCTGGCCCTTTTTAACTCTTCATTTATTTCAGTTTTATTTTCTTGACTCTCTTCATGTCCATCTTCTGTGCCTTCCTTCTGATCATATCTATTGTTCATTGGCACCCTGGTCTTCATTTTTAAGAGGATTTGTCTTTTATTTCAATTTCTTTCCTGAATTTAGTCAGCTCCCACTTGTTATCTTCACACTGTCCATTTCTATTCTGAATGTTTAAATTTCTGGTTCACGGTGCAGCTCCTTGTTTAATTACATATCTAATGCATGTTGGAGTGTTGTATCAGTGTTTCTCTACTTCATTTTGTTTGTTTTTGCATCTACTGAAAAGTTTTCATTCTAATTTTCTTTTTTATTCTTATAACAACTCTGTATGGATAGTGCTTATTTTTTCTGTTCATGATTATTCACAATGGGATTTCCTAGACCAGAAGGAGCTGGTTACCCTAGGGAAGGGGCTAGGGATGTGCGTGGTTTCCCAGGTTTCTTCATTCGGGGGTTCTGTAACAGACCCACATCTTTGGTATCACCTGAATTCCTTCAACTGCACCCTTCTTTCCAAAGGCTCCATTCATGTCCTATATTGTATTGCCACCAGGGACCAACCAGTCACTCAGCTGGGAGTGCTGGCCCCTCCTGGCTGCTGCCATGCAGCCATGCTGACCCACCACAAGCCCAGGGTTTCCAGATCTTCCTTTCACCTACAGACCTGGATGAAATGCCTGACCACAGGGCGTGGGATCTGGCATCCTAAATGGACACTGAAAGGGCCAGATGGACAACTTGGAAGAGAGAGGGAGTTAGCTCCCCGCGGGGTGCGTGCTGACCAGCGGCCAATAGGAGACAGGAAAGGACTGGGCACCTCCCCCACAGACCCCTACAAGGCACAGTCTACCCTTGCACCTGTCTGGAGAATGTTCCACATGCCTAGTGAATGCACCTGCCAAGTGACCTGCTGCACCTCTTTGTGGCTCTTCACAATGTGTTTCCAAGGGAACCCGTGCAGAGAATAGTGCCCTCTGCCGCTGTCACGAGGTGCAGTTTCTGGAATGAGCAGTTCCCTTAGGTCTGCTGTCTTCTGGATTCTTGATGCAATCTTGCTTCTGTAGGACTCCCATCTTCTGCAACTTCCTTCTTCCTTCACCACCAAGCATCTGAGGTGCACACTCCCATCCTGCTCACTGCCCTCTCAGAAGCAGTGCCTTCCCAAGATGGCTGCCCCTGGAGCCTCACACTTGCCCTGGGAGCCCTGCTCTGCTCCACCAGCTCTCTGCTTCCTCTGTTATCTCCCCAGTGTATGTGGCCACTGTCCCAAGAACCTTGTCACACTCCCCTCTCACAGGGCAGTCCCCATCCTGCTGTCCTTCCACTGTGGCCCAGGCATGGCTCTGCTGGTCCCGGTGAGAATTTCCCTACCCGCACACAAACCAGAGCCGCTCTCCTGGTTACGTCACAGGCAGAGGCCCTGAGTGCCCTCCATCATCCGCTGTTTTTGGGAAGATGCGTAGAGATTTGAATTTAAGTAGCTATCATCCTCTGGCTCACCCTCTTACTGAATTACTTTTCTTTAAGGGATGAAACACTGTTTGGTAAAGAAACATTAGCCAGAAACTGTTTCTGTCAATGCAATTAGTATTAATTTTCCCAAACTAGGTTATAATAGAGGTCACCTGATGGAATCAATAAAAACAAAACAAGAGGCCAAGACAGACGATGCAGATGCAGTAACTGTTCCCGGACACGTGACCCCACAGCCGCCAGTGTTGCAGGGCCACAAACACGCCCTGTGTCGGCCGCTGGGAAAATCTCCAACAGCTAGTGAAGTTGCGAGTCACAAATGCACCCACTAAAAGGATGAAAAGCGACACCACACCCTAATGTGACACAAATAAAGACTTGGGTTCGGGCCGGCCCTGTGGCTTGGTGGTTAAGTGCGCGCGCTGCAATGCTGGCGGCCCGGGTTCGGATCCCGGGTGCGCATCGAGGCACCACTTCTCCGTCCATCCTGAGGCCGAGTCCCACATACAGCAACTAGAAGGATGTGCAGCTACGACACACAACTATCCACTGGGGCTTTGGGGGGAAAAATAAAATAAATAAAATCTTTAAAAAAAAAAAAAAGACTTGGGTTCTAGGGTGAGATCTTTAGTGACAACATCGTATCTTGATTCAAAAACAGTGTAGGCAGAAGCCAAGATTTACTCTGGAAAACTGTGTTAGATGACCCGAAAAGGTCAAAGGTACAAGTGAATGGTCTGAACACGATGGTCTGAAGAAAACAGAGAACAGCAATGTTTTATGAAATATTGTAAGTCCTGTCATTTAAACAGCTACGTGCAAGTCAAGTAATAAGGTGAAGAAGCAGACATTTAACTATTTTATCTATACTCTTAAAAGTTTAAATATTCAGTTTTTTGGGGGCTATCTTGGGCAAATGGAGGTCACCTTCTATCTGGGTCACCCTCTGTGCAGGCACACATGAGGATTTCTCTGTAACCGTATTCTTATCAAAATAGGACACCAGCCAGCTCCAGGTCACATGATCTGTCTGGCTCCTGCACCCACTGGGCTAAGTGCGGGGGGCTCAGGATGGCTATGGCCTCCCCTGGCTGGGGGATGGCTGTGTGTACGTGCAGTGGGCATGGTGAATCATACTCGGTTTCACAAAAAGGTGGCATCTGAGCATCTGTCAAATGTAAGGGGATGTGGAGCCCAGCACCAGGTGTGCTGGTCGGGATGGTGACGGGGGAAGGAGCTCCTTTGGGAAGGCCATGTGGCCAAAGACCTCGAGTCCCAGAGCAGCTCGCCTTGAACACACAGAAAGGCAAGAGGGAGCCAGGAAAGGTTTCGGGTAAGAGAGTGAGGGGCATACGCAGGCCCAGCCTCCCTCCCCGGCCCCTCACAGAGAAGGAGACCCCAGAAGCCTTACCTGAGCCCGCCTTCTTGTCTGTGCCTGCTCTCCAGCTGCTCCAACTCCTCGGAGGCCAGTACCATCCCACTGTCTGTCTGGTTATCCTGTGCGGAGAGAACAAGGCCAAGTTGTTGGCCCGCTGAGGCCCATCTGCAGGCAGCCGCCCCAGGCAGGACAGGGCACACGGACCCGCACCTCTGCCGATCTCATACCCGTCCTGCGGGAAGTGAGTGGGAGGCGGGTGTCCATCTCCTCACCCAAGCATGCAGTGAGGTCGCCTGCCCCACCACAGAGGGAGAAACTGAGGCCTGGGGGACCGTGCCTGGCCCACGCTCAGGAGGCCGCAAAGCTGGGATGCCCCCCGCTGGGGGACCTCCAAGGTGGCTCTGCACGTGCTCAGGGCGCAGGCAGAGCAGGAGCACCAGGAGAAAGGGGGAAAGCATCGAAAGAACCTGGCAGCCCACAGTGTAGAAAAACGATCCTCAAGTAGACACAGCCGGCTTTAGCGACTCTGTCCCCTCAGGTCGTGCGTGTGGTTCCATTTGGAATTACATGGGGTGGGGGGGTGGGGGCGGGAACTGCACTGTTGTCAGAGTTTCGGGACCCCCCCAGGGTCTTCATCTGGTTCTGGGGACATGAGCCTGGGTCCACGTGGCTCTGGTCCAGGGCTCCCAACACTGCCCGCACTGGCAGCCCCTCCAGCCAATGCTCACTGACCAGGCCTGTCTAGAGGGAGCTGGGGCCGGAGGGTTCCAGGCTGTGAGTCACTGGAACTCGGCTGGGGGCTCAGTCTGCGCTTTTACAAAATGGACACACTTGCTCTGACCTCACTCCGCTTGACTCTCATCTGAGGACACAGGTGGTTCTCCGGTGCCCCTACGCCAGCCTCCTACTCCAGTGACTCTGATCCCTTTTCTCGGGGCCACCAAAGGGGGTCCCTGCCTGAGGCTGATCCAAGGAGGCCCAACCCGAAGGAGGAGCCTACGCTGCTGGGAGAGAGACGGCAGGGCTGCCACAGAGGGGAGGCCCCGTGTGAGTCAGGAGGACACGGGCGACGTGGCCAAGAGGCAGCGGCATGGCAGGAGCACCCAGACCCCAGTGTGCCGAGGCGCAACCTGGACTTGACGTTCCAAGGGACGATCACTCTTTCCTGAGCCGGTTTCTGCCCCTTGCCTTAGGAGCTCCTGATGTCTGCCTCCCCGCAGAGAGCCCAGCGGCCCTGATCTGGGGTGCACAGGCCTCCCCACCCCACATACCACCGAGGCCTTGTAGGTGATCGGGGTCAAGGGAAATTCTTCAAACGTTTTCATCCTGGAGGAACCCTGGGTCTGAGTCCCTCTGGCCAGGCACCCCGGAAAGGACACACAGTTGTAATATCTGTGGGGAGAAAACGAAAAGTACTAAAGAAACATACCCCAGCACCCCTCCTGAGAGCTCTCTCCACCTCTCTGTCTGCCCTCCTCTCCTCCCCGGAAGGACCCCAGGCCTGGGGCATGAGGAGGAGGCCTGGGTCTGAATGCTGGTCTGCGCTCTGCCCCAGGCCCCCTGACCCTGAGCCACGTATCCTCTCCTGTGCCAGAAGAGGAAACCTCCTGAGGCCGCTGCCGGGGAGGCTGTGGAGCTGGTGAGAGGTGGGGAGGCCCTAACCCTGGGATGGGCCTCCTTGTGCAGGGCAGGCAGGCCCAGGTGTGTGGACATGTGTGTTCACTTGTGTTTGCAGGCAAGTGTGTGCCTTGGGGGGCTGGCAGAAGGAGCTTGGCAAGAACCAGCTGGCTGTTCCTGTCCCCAGGCCTGGCTCTGCTCTCTGTTGGGGCAGATGGGTGGGGTCTCAGAGCCCTTCTCTCAACAACGCCAGTGGGAATGTGGACGGCAGGACATTCCTGGAGAGTAAACCGCCATTGGCAAGACACCTCCGACCCAGAACTCCAGGAACTCTGGCTACGTTCCAATCCTGAACACGGGTTAGTGACTGGGGTCACTGCCAGTGAGTCTCTGCCAGTGGCCCTTGAGACTCACCCCCATCCCCTGGCCTGGGCACTGTGCTGAGAGGGACACTCCCTTGAAACTGGGGAGAGGGGCTCTCAGGGGCCAAGGGTGCAGGGAAGAGGAGGAGGCTGGAGGACAGCGAGGACTGAGGAGGCTCAGAGAAAAGCAAAGTCACGAGGCCATGTGGCCCTGGAGGGCCCTGAGGCTGACAAGCAGGGCGTCCCCGACAGCAGCACTGTCATTTAAGGTCACTCTGCTCTTTGCGTCGGCATACAGTGCTCCTCAGCGCTTGTAGTTTCTTTTCGTTGATGACCGATGAAGATAAAATACACCATGTCCAAACCGCTTTCCCCTGCCCGGCGACCCAGGCACTGGGAGGGCGGCTCACCTGGCGGCCAGGCTGTGCCGGGGCAGGCTCAGTGGGCTGTCCTCGGCATCGGCGTTGGCCTCGGTGACGTGCAGGGCTGTGGTGGACGCCCGCAAGAAGCTGCCCTCCTCTGAGCTCTGAGAGCCGCAGGGGACCATGCCGTCCTCCTCCTCCTGGCAGGGACGGCAGAGGCGGTAGGGTCAGAGGCCACTGTAGCCTTCAGCTCCCACGCCTTCACTCAGGATGGTTGGGTTCCTGACCTGTGAGGGACTGTGCTCCACGGGCTCTGAGGATTAAACGAGGCCACCCGGCTGATTCTCCCCACTGCCCCCGAGGTGCCCCACGTGTAGGGAGGCAGGCAGAGCAGAGCATCCTCGCTCCAGGGCCCCGCTGCTCTGCAGTCTCTGCAGCACCAGCACTTCCCACCCGCTTCTTGGGGCAGACCTGGAGCGAAAGTGCCCGTCCCCAGCCCTTGAGGCCCAGGCAGCAGGCTGCTCCCTGCTCACTCCTCCTGGTCTCGGAGCACCAGTGAGGACCTGAGTCGGCCCTGAGCTGGCTTCCTCCCCACCCCTGAGGAACACTGTGTGGGAAGGGAGACACAAGTGAGGGCAGGTGCAGAGGGCGGAGGCTGCAGGGGGTGGAGGCGCAGAGGGAGGTGGAGGAACACATCGCTCCTCTGCCAGAAGACAGGGGCTCCTTGCAGGCCCCCTGGGGACCAGCCTGGGGCTCCTTGTGGGCAGACAGGCTCTGACCATCCGCATGGTGGCCCCGGAGTTGGGTCCAGAGGCTGCTGCAGCAGGCCAGGGTGGAGACGTGGCTCACCTGCCGGCGCCCGCCCTGGAGCAGGTCCCCCAGCATCTCCACCAGCTCCGAGAATGCAGGCCTCTCTTTGGGGTCCCCGGACCAGCAGCTCAGCATGATGCGGCGTCTGCAGGTAAAGCTGGCTGCTGGACGTGGTCTGAGTGCGCCCCCCACCTGCTGCACCCCAGGCCCCCACACCAGCCCTCCCCCCTGGGGGGCGGGCAGGAAAGCTGTTTGTTGAGGGATGAGAGGTGGAGTGAGACACTGTGTTTGCAGGCCTCCACCCCTTGCTGTGCCTGCACAACCTCCCCCCACCCTGCCTGCATGCCCCCCTTCTCATACCTGCACACAAACCCCCTTCCCCACCCCCTGTGCTCACCCGCCCTCCCAGCCCCCTAGCATCTGCACAGCTGGCCAGGAGACTCACATGGCAGGGGTGGCCAGGTCTGGGGCCCTCATCCGGGTGCCATCTCTCAGCCGCTGGCAGAACTCCTCATTAATCTGCACCCCAGGGTACGGGGAGGCCCCTGATGGCAGAAACAGGATGGAAGTGGGGATGGGTAGGGAGCAGGCCCCAAACTGCCTGTCCTGGGCCCCCACGGCAGGGTGCTTGCCCTGCTGTTCCCTGCGGGGTCCTGGGCAAGGCACTTGCCTCCCCCAGTGCTCATTTTTCATCTGGTCAAGAGGACGATGGCACTCTCTAGCTAGGAGTGCCATGAGCATCCGCGCTTTAGAGACACGTGAGCGAAAACATGGTTCCTGGGATCTTCAGGGTCGGGAGAGCTGTGCCGAGCCAGTGGAGCCGCCCTGTCACCACCACCCCTCTTAGGAAAGGCCTGCTCTGGCCGACCAATCTGATCCCTCCCTAAGTCCTGTGGCTGTGCCTACAAACAGGTCCTGGGCCTTACCCTCCTCGCCCCCCCAGGCACCTGGCTCTCCTGACCACAGGAAAACACTCTGAGAGCCACCCCGCAGCAGGGCGGCCCTTTTTAGCCAGCTCTCTCCCTCGCTCAGAGCACTGCCAGGCTCCCACTGACTGAAATTCCAGGCCCTCACCCAGCCTGCAGGGGCTGCATGGACCAGCTCTCCTACCTCTTGCTGCATCTCCTGACGCCCTCCCTGCCCGCCTCCACCCGCGGGGACTGTCGGCCTGGCTGCGCACTTGCTATGGACTGCTGTCCTCCAGGCCCATTTGCCTCTATCCCACTAGCCCTCCCAGCCCCGTGGCTGACACAGCCATCCTGTCCTGTCCTTCCCGTGCTCTCCGTGCCCTTTTATGTTTAGCGAAAGCATGCAGCAAGGTTGCCATTTGGTGCTTTTGCTTTCCCACTTGTTCGGGGCCTCCCCCAACCTAGCCGGGGCTTCATCTCGACCCCAGCGGGGCCTAGGTTCCCATGGGAGGCTTATGTAAGTAGGTGTGGTCATTGAGTGAGCACCCAGTCTCCTCCAGGCTGCTCCCAGCCCTGGAAGGCAGGAGCAGCGTCACCAGTGCCAGGTGAGGAAGCAGCTCAGCCAGGGAGAGGCAGACTCGGGGAACCCTCGAGGCCTGTCCCTCTGGGACCTGTGGGGAGCCAGAGGCTGTGCCCTGGCATAAGCTGGGGCATGCTGTCCTCCAGAGGTGGTGCCAGGGTGGCCCACGCTGGAGGTGAAGGGGACAGGTAGGGGTTCTCGAACCACCTGCCTCAGAACCACCTGGGCTGCTTGCTCCAGAGGAGCCTGTGACCCTGCCTCGCCCTCCCCTGTACCCCACTCTACACTCACCCAGAGAGAAGATCTCCCAGAGCAGCACCCCGAAGGACCACACGTCGCTCTGCGTGGTGTACACCTTGTCGAAGATGCTCTCGGGGGCCATCCATTTCAGGGGCAGCCGGGCCTGTGGGAGGAGGAGGGAAGTGTGTCTCCATGGGGAGGGAAGAAGGGGAGGAGGCCAAACCCTTGTGTAGCCCCCCTCCCGCCTAGTTGCCCAGGACTCTGGGGTCCCACCAGCCCCTGTGTGTTCAGATGGCTCCTGCAACTTGCCCTGCTCCCCTACCCCCATCCCAGAGGTGTCTGGTGCCTCCCTTGACGGCGTCTTCCCTGCTGCTGTCCTCCTGGGTCCATCCGGGCCCCTCTCTTCCCCTGTGCTCTCCCGGGAAGCACTTGCACCCCTCCTCCAGCTCCAGACCCCTCAGCCCAAGTCCCACTCAGGAACCCCAGATCCCTGTACACCCTTGGTCCCCACACTGGAAGCCTGGCGCCACTTCTAACCCCTCCTCCTGTGGCTCCCGATGCGCCTTCCCCATCATCTGTCTCTCCTGCTCTCATGGTCTCTATCTGGGAGCCCTGAGGGCCACAGCTCTTCCTGACTGGCCTCTGCCTCCACCCCAGCACCCCGAGTCCCCTCTCCTCACAACTGCAGAGGGGTTCCTGGACCACACACCTGACTCTCACCTCCACATGCCCCCACACACCTGTGAGTTAAAATAAAGGACAAAAGCCTTCTGCACGGTGGCCTGCCACAACCTGGATCCATCCTGCCCATCGCCTTCCCTCCGAGCTTCTCCCTTCCTCCCCAGGGCAAAGCCCTCATCAGCTTTGGATGCTCATTCAGGCGCCGGCTTGGCCGCCTTGGAGCGCCACCAACTAGACACATGCTGCACCTAACACCTGTGCACTTTTCTGTGACCACCCTGCACCAGGCCTGTCCATCTCCAGGACAGACACCATGTGGGGTCCACCTCTGCATGTCCAGTCCCCACAGGACAGGCGTGGGGAGTCAGTGTCCACTAAATGGACCAATGGCCAAACACAAGCTCTGATCGGAGCACTGTGGTCCCTGCTCATCAGTTCCTGTCTCTGCTCCCCTGCCCCAGGTGCCTCGGCGGGGTCACTAGGGTCCCTGTAGGTGCAGGTCCTCAGACCTTCCTTGTGGGTGGTGGTGAGTCCCCCACCCCAGCCCCCCTCCGTGGTCTGCACTCACACTGCCCTTGCGCACGTAGTCAGGGTCTTTGTAAATGTCCCGGGCCAGACCGAAGTCGCAGATCTTCACCACGTCGCTTTCTGACAGCAAGATGTTCCGAGCAGCCAGGTCTCTGTGGATGCACTAGGGATACGAGGAGGTGCGCGGGAGCGGTCAACGCAGGCCCCTGGGGCTGCACCCATGCCTCAACTCTGCTCTTTCGGGGACAGATTCCTGTGTGCCCTCCCCCCGCCGTGTGCCATGGAGAGGGCTCGTGGAACTATGGGGACAGCAAAGGAGGCTGTGGGGTGGGATAGACTCTGATTCCACATCCACCTCTGCCACCGACTAGCCGGAGATCTTAGGAAGTCACTTCCACACTCTAGGCTCAGTTTCCTCCTCTGCAAAGTGGGAGAGACCTGCCTCAACCACAGGGTGCGGTGGGGGATAGGAGGACTGAGCACGCCTTGGCACGCTGGTGGGTCTGCACCCTTTTCTCTTCTGAAGGGCCTGCCAGGGCAGTCACCTTGCGGGAGGCCAGGAACTCCATCCCTCGGGCCACCTGGAAGCTGTAGCAGACAAGGTCTTCCATAGTCAGCGGGCTCAACCACAGGTCCTCTGCTGCACCAAGCAGCAAGGTGGGATCAGATGGGACTCCTTGTTCCATTCCACCCCGAAGAGAACATTTGTTCACCCAATCCTGGCTGCATCCGTCCTGGCCGGGCTTGAGGCCCCTGTCCTAGTAACAAGTGTGTGGGCCCCTTCTCCAGCCCTCAGCCTGCACTCTCTCTGGGACACCGGCTACCTACTCCCAGAGCAGTGACTACTGTCCACTGATCTTGCACCTGCTGCTTCTGCCTGGACTGCTCCCCCATCTGTCTGCAAGGCAAACTCGTATGCATCCAGTCATACCCAAATCAAACACTGAAAGTCTCTGTGAAGACCGTTCCTGAGGTGTCCTCCGGTCCTAAGGCAGAGCCCATCACGCTCTCCCAGTAAGTCCCTCCGGAGGGCCCCAGGCCCGCTTATCCCAACCATGAGGCATCATCGTGCCAGACAGACATCTTGGGCAGGGGGAAGCTAGATCCTTACCTTCTTGGACCAAAGGGGCCCGCCCCGCCCCGCCCTTGCCCATCAGCAGCCGCGTGAAGAGGGCCCTGTCGCTGCTTCCCGGCCTCCTCCGGTCAGCCTTGGCGCCCTCGACCATGGCGCGGAAGCGCCTTCGCTGCTCAGGGGATTTCTCCTGCGGAGGCACAAAGCAGGTCCGAGGGGCGACCCACCACCCACGGCAGAGGAACCCCCCCAGACCACCTTGGCGCCTCACCGGCTCACTAGCGGCGACCACCTACCGCGAAGGGGCTGAAGGCTTCCCGCTTGGCGCGCAGGAAGTTAGAAAGGTTGCCATACTTGCAGAACTCCACGATCACCATGAGGGGGCCTGGGGTAGGGCAGGGCAGGGCAGGGCAGGAGCCGCGAGGTTGGTGACCGACTGCATGCTGGAAGGCGAGCGCCGCGCAACACTCCGCCCCGCCCCCTCCTGGACCCCGCCCCGCCCTTGCCCACTCCAAGCCCAGGTGACCCCTCCCACCCAGAGAGCCAGTGCGCCCCAGGGCCTGGCCCTCCACCCGCCCGAGCCGAGCTCCGCACCGTTGGGCTTGGTGCATGCCCCCAGCAGGTTGACCACGTTGAGGTGGTTACCGATGTGGATTAAGATCTTGAGCTCCGACATCAGGGCGCGGTGTTCGCTGGCGGTGGCGCCCTCTGGAGGGGACACAGGGGCTTCGCACGGTGCTGGGCCTGCTCTGCCTCGCCCCCAATCCCTGCGCATCCCTCCTTCCAGGCCCCTGGCTTAGCTAAGGCACAGCCAGCGCTCTTGCCAGTGGGGGCGGAGGGTCCCCAGCACATCCTGCCCGCCCCTCTGAGGCCAGGGGTTCAGGTGAGGCTGGGGAGTATTGCTCAGACCTGTGCCCAGGCCCGGCTGACTCCCACTGACTCCCTATAGAACCTTGAGGGAGACGCTGGCTTGGAACCTCAGTTTCCCTTCCTGCTCCACAGCCCCACCAGCCCACTGCTCCCCACCAGCTCAGCAGCCCCTCCACCTGCTGACCCACCTTTCAGCATTTTCACCGCCACAGTGTCACAGCTGCTGCCCTTGTTAATTCCGAAAGCAGAGGCTTCCACCACCTTCCCAAAGGCCCCGTGGCCAAGGACTCTCCCTGTGAGGCAGGGAGCCAATTCCAGGTGAGCCGTATGGGGGTGAGGGTGGAGGGGGACGGGCAGCAGGGGCAACCCATGCGGAGCGCCAGGAGGAAGGCCCAGGATGGGAGGAAAGTCGAGAGCCCCTCTGCCAAACAGGAGGAGCATGGGAGCCCGAGCGGGAAGAGGAGGAGAGGAGGCAGACAGGAAGGCCTGCATCCTCTCCCAGCAGGTGTGACGGGCCCACCCTGCTCAGAGCAGCAGGAAGTGACCTCAGGGGCCTGGGAACTGGGAGCTCTGGCGATGGTTGTGGGGATGCACTCCCAGATGGACAGGTCAGGCCAGGCGGGACTTTCTGGCATGAGTTCTGAGAATGGAGGGATTTCAGGGCCCCAGCTGAAGCTGCCTCTGCCAGGGAGACCAGGGTGAGTGGGGCAAGCTGGGCACTGGCCTCACCGAGGTGCAGCCGCTCCCGGGGGAACTCCCACTGGCTGGCATCATAGGACAGGTATTCACACTGCTCCTCCAGAGGCACCTCCCCGGGGTCCATGATGATGGACAGGTAGCCCGTCTTGATGTCTGCGTGAGCTGGCTGGGGGTGGGGGGGGGGGGACAGCTCATTGATCTGGCCATACCACTGAGGCTTGCGCAAAACTTTGCCCAGGACAGATGGGATCTCCTTCGGGACTTTCAATCAAGGAGGGGACAGACACACAGACAACCTCTGGTCACGTAAGAGCCCAGCATGGAGTACTCAAGGAGGCTTCCCAAGAGACAGGACTTCCAGCTGAGCCAGGATGGCACCTTACTCCTTATCTTAAGGGCTGGCCAGGGTGGAGAGAGACCCCATGAGAAGCTGGGGAGAGGCTCAGCAGGGGGAGGAGTGCTCACCCTCCTCATGTTACAGAAGATGAGGAGGAGAAGGACCCAGAAGAAGACTGCGATGACCCCGGTGCCAACAAGGATCACGATTTCCATGCTGCCTTTATCCTCGGAGCCTGAATGGGCAGAAAGGGCCTACTGTGTGTATGAGGGGGACAGAGTGCACCCCACGGCAAGACTTGCATGAGGTGGCCACAAGAAGGCACCAGGTGCGGGCAGGAGGTGGTGGAGGGGCCTGCGGGGGAAGCCACACCTTCCACGGCCACGCTGGCAGAGGAGTTGACACAGCCCTTGGCATTGCACACACTGCACAAATAGTGGCCTGCATCCTCCTCACGCACGCGCTGGATGCTCAGCTTCTGGTTTGAGTCGGCCAGGTCGATTCCTGCAGGAGGTGGGGTGGAGGTTCAAGTTCAGGTGGGTCTGGGGGCCTACGCCTCGCCAGCTTCTGGACCCTGCCCTTCACCTGGGTCCATCTCCCTACCAGACTCTTCCTCCAGCAGCCTCTCATCTTTGTACCACACGATGCTGGGCACGTGCACCCCTGCCACTGGGCACCGCATCTCCAGGGAGTCGCTCACATTCACCAGGAGGTCAGTCAAGTTCTGCGTGAGCCGCGGGGCTTCCAGGGCTGGGGGGGGGAGTGGTCAAGAGGGAGCTAGGCGAAGCTGCAGAAAGCTGGAGGGCACTCTGGAAGGGGCTCTCCAAGGAGTAGAGGGTGGGGATGGACTGCGCAAAGCTCAAGGAAGGGTGGGGGTTTGAGTGCCTGGCAGGGAAGGCTGCACACCTCCATCGTGGGGAGTCAGGAGGGGGACGCTCCTGCAGGCTAGGGCTGTGAATGGACAGCCCAGGCGTGCGCTGGGCTGCGGGGAAGGCTCCTTGGGAGGCGCTGCCCGCCCTCCCGCCAGCCCTGCCCGCCTCACCCTGCACTGAGAGGTACTTCTTGTGACAGTGCTTGTCCTGGCTGTGCCGGTCCTGCACCTCGCACACGTAGTCTCCTTCGTGCTCGGGCGCCACTCGGGGGATTGTCAGGCTGAGCGTGGCGTGGCGCATCCCGGGGGCCGCCTCCTCCAGGCTGGCGGCCAGCGGCGTGGCAAATAGGTGCACGTTCTTGCAGTCGAGCAGCAGCGGGTTGCCGTGCGCATCGTGCAACGTGGACAGGTTGAGGCGGTACCAGCGCAGATGCTCGTAGGTGTAGTTGTCTGCCCGGCAGCTCAGGCGCACGGTCTGACCCTCCAGGGGCTCTTCTGAAGGCTCGGATTCAATGCTGAAGCCGTCGGGGATGGCTGGGGAGGGAGGAGGCACGGCCGTGACATTGCTCTGGTGCTCCCTCACTTGCCCAGGGGCCAGCCTCCCCTATCCCATTGGCCTTTGGACTCACTCAGTTCTCAACCAGGGGTGCACATCTCGGGTGTCGGGGTCAGGGACACCCCTCCAAGCCCTCTTCTCCCCTCACCGACCAGCGGGACCAGCTCAGGAAGTCAGTCCCTTGGGGTCTCCTCCCACCCCACCTCCTCCTAGCTCTCTCCTGGATGAGCCCCTACCAGGCTGCTGCCCCCAGCTTTCCCAGGAGCCCAGATCCTCAGTGAGCTCTTTGTCACCAGACAGTGGGGGCCTGAGTCCCCATCCTCCCTCACTACTGACCAACCCCTACCACTGACCTCTCCTTGAAACAATCTCACTGTTTCATTAGCTTTCGGCAATGCCTTGTTCCCAACTTCCTTTTGTCCTTCTGGCCACTCCTTGTCAGGCTCCTTTGGGATCCTCTCCCCCTCCTCCCCCAGAGTGTTCTCTCTGGCTCCATCTCTCTTCTAGGTGCCCTCATCTGCACCCCTGGGCCCAATGACTGTCCTTTCATGGGCTTCTTAGCTTTCCTGGGCTCACTAACACATTTGAAAATCTGAGGAACCTGTGGACCTTCTCTCCAGGGCAAAATGCACCTGTGAGCCAGCCACCACCTGGGATCCAGGGTTTGGGGAGGGGGTGGGAGGAGGCACCTCCAGGGCTGGGGTGCAGAGGGTGCCACTTCATCCCAGTGGACCAACATCTCAGTCCATATGCCGAGGACCTCCAAATCTATTCCTCTCACCTAGACCCAGGGGCCCACTGGGCCCTGGATATCTCTCTTGGGTGCCACACGGTCACCAGAGACTCAATGGCCCCAACCTGGGTCCATCATTCCTTCCCAGGCCTGTTCTCCTCCTGTGCCCACCGGGTTCCTGACCTCCACCCAGGCCTAACCAAGTCACTCACTGGTCACATAGAAGTAGATGAGCCGCTCGTCCTGGCCCACTTTGTTGAAGACCACACACTTGTACATGGCGGACACGTTGGCATCCTGGATCACCAGCTTGCTCACCGTCTGGGCAGAGCACAGACACTAGGATCCATTTTCTTCCCAAGTTCCCCCACTCAGACCCCCCTTTCTGCATGGAGGTCACTGTGCCCACCAGAGTAATTGGGGAAACTGAGTTTCTGGGCTGGAGATGACCAAAGCTCAGAAACAGGACCAGGAGTGGTGAGGCAGGGAGGAAAAGGCGAGGCCCTTGGGCAGCAGAGAGAGGTGGCTCCCCAGAAAAGTCAAGGGACAGCGCTATGGACAGCTGGCATCAGTGGTGGCTGAGGTCAGAGGGTGGCATTAAGCAGGGCCAGAGAGACCTCTGGGTGTGGATGGGGTCCGTTGGTGGCCATGTTGAGGAGAGGACAGGGACCTGGTGGCACTGGGTCAGTCCAAGCCAGGGTTAGGATTCAGGCTGCAGTCATAGCAAGGGTCAGGCTGTGGCCCAAGGCCAGCAGCTGGTCACTGTGAGATGGTTGTGATGTGCCCACGTTTGCCCCAAGGCTGCTCACCCTGTGCCCTGGTGGTGGCCCTGGGTAGTGGCGAAGGAAGGGACTCTGGCCTGGGGGAGTAGGAAGCTTGCGAGAAACAGGGGAGGAGAGAGGGCCATAGGCCCTGCCTACCATCCAAAGACCCCCCCACCCCAAGCTGGGCACTTCCTGGCCAGGCCTGGAACAGGAAGAGGCACTGGAGGTGTGTAGGAAAACAGGAAGTGACTGTAGGAAGTGGGTGCCTTTGTTCAGTTCCCTCCCCTCCCCCAGCCTCTTCTAGGCATTGCCCCCAGGCTGGGCCAGTGGTGGGGACTTGGCCAGCCCCCAGCCCTGAGCCTCCCAGCCCTGGGGCCTGTGGGCAGCTAGGGCCCATGGCCTGGCCAGGTGGCCTTGAATCTCAGCTTCCCTGTCTGGGAAGCAGCCGGAGGTCCAGCCTCCATTCCACATGCAGGAAGGGGAGCTGTGGCCCAGGGACATTGCAGAAAGGTCACTGGCTTTGCTGTCCCCAGAACTCTGCAGGCCTGGTGGAGAAAGAGAGAAGGCCAGGAGACGGCCTCTCTTGTCCCCTTCTCCTTCTCCCTGGCCACTCAGCGGCACCGCTGGCCCGTACCTTATTCTTCCCCTCCACAAACTCGGTCCAGGTGTCCAGGCTTTCGATGGGGTTCACAGCATCCTGCGTGGTAACCTCCCTCCAGTCTCGGCACTGTGGCATGTGGTCTCGCTGCTGCCGCCGGCTGCTACAGACCAGGAGGGGCAAGGGCAGGTGAGGGATTCGGGCAGGGAGGGCCCCACTGGGGGCAGGAATTGAGCCTTTGTCATACTCATGGTCATTTTCTCACACCACGGTGGGTAACACTGGCCCTCGGGCTGGGGTGAGTGAAGGGGACTGTGGCTTTGTTTCCGGAACTCTGTCTCCTTTATGCTCAGAGCTCACAACCCATCCTGTGCAGGCTGCCAGGCACTGCCTTCCCCAGCAGGCCAGGGCCTGTGCCCGCAGAGCAGCACACACCCGTGGCTCTGTGGTCACCCTCCAGCCTGCTGCGCCCACTGTCCCCCATCAGGTTATAGCGACTATCTTCCTGCAAAGATCTTCACATCACCACTCCTTCTCCAAGAAGCCCTCTCGCCCTGTCTCTCTCCCCGTCCCTCTTCCAGAGCTGCAGCCCCCCCCACCCCATGGCAGGTTTGCATCCTGGCACCTTTGATCCCCCACTAGGATGGGGGTCTTGGGCCCCCAGGGTGCTGTGTGTTGGTGCAGAGCATAATGGTAGAGCATCAGAGGGAAGCAATTTTGGAGGTGCTGGCAGTAACCTGCAGCCTCGCGGTCTAGAAGAATCTCTTATGAGCCTTGGACACTGCTGGCTGGCTCAGGCCCACAGGTCCCCCCTACGGAGCCTCCCCCACTGACCACGCCTGGGCCCCAGCCCCTCTGCTGGCACGGCTGTGCTGTCTCCTCCTTGGGTTCTCAGCGTCCATCCCACCCCAGCCTGTGACCCTCCACTCTGCCCACAAGGATCTCCTGCTAAATGGCTCATCTGAGCCGTCACTCCCCTGCTCAACGCCCTTCACTGGCTCCCCAGTGCCTTCCAGACCACTGCCCACCTCAGTGCCCTCCTCTCCCGGCCCCTGCTTGTCCAAGTTGTCTTTGCCTTGAGCATTCTCCCAGCCTGTCTGTCCTCCTGACACCAGCTCAGGTAGTGGACTGTAGCCCAGCAGTTGGGCAGGCTCTGCTGCTTACAGCCGTGACCTTGGGAAAGCCACGTCCCTCCTCTGACTTCAGTTTCCTCTTCTATAAGGGGTCATTGTGAGCGCTGCACAAATGAGCATGGACATGCCCTGTGTGCCGCTTAGTCAAGTCTCATAAAACTAGCCCCATCTGCCCACTGGTGGGAGGTGCCTCCTTGGTGCCGAGGTACATCCCATGGTCCTCTTGGGATGATACAATTATGTGTCTGGGGGGCTTTGCTCTCCAGGGAGGTGGGTGGGGGCTGGACTATCCCCAGTGTCCAGGCTGATACAAGGGAGGGTCTGAGTCTCGCTCAAGCGGGGTGAGGTCATGGATTGGCTACCACAGAATTGTGACAGGTTCAAGTTTAGGGCAGGGCTCCAGAGAGGGGTGCAGCAGTGAGTGGGGGTCTCAGCCGAGGCTGCGGCTGGGAAGTGGGGGAGGGCAGGCTGGAGTTAGACTCACAGGCTGCGCTGGGTGAAGGTCTTGCAGGGTGTCCACGGCCGCCAGTGCCACTGGATGCTGAGAGGAGGGGGCACCCCGTAGGCAGTACAAGTGAGGGCCTGGCGACTGTGGCGGGAGTAGATGCTGGGGGAGGAGGTCTCCTTCTCGTGGATGTGGGGGGGCACTGGGGACACAGGCAGACAGCCAATCAGCCGGCCCCACCACCGCACCCGCCGCCCATTCTCCCCTCTCCCCCCCTCCCATCCTGACCACCCATACCGTTCACCACCAGCTCCAGGCTGATGTTGCGCCTCAGGCCGGCCACGGAGTTCCACAGGGCGAGGGTATAGATGCCTGCACTGGCCTCCGTCACCTCCTTGAGCACCAGGGCATGCGGACTGTGGCGCCCGGACACTGCTTTTCTGTCCTTGTACCTGGCCCAGGAAGGGAGTTCAGGGGGCTGTGTGGACCCCACCCCAGCCCCATCTTGGCACTCCTTCCCTTCTGAACCCCAGCCCCTAGAACTGGAATATAGTGTCGGGAGGCAGGAAGAGGCCGGGTGCCAAAGCAAGAGGCTCCTCCTGGACCAGACCAGGAGGCTGCTGGGAAGGGCAGCAGAGGTGTGGGAGGGCAGCCGACACAGGTCTGGGGTGCAGGTGGCCTAAAAGATGTGGGAATGTCTCACAACACCGGCAGGCTCAGGGAGGGCTGCAGCATACATCCGCCTCCCCCACAGCCCCTGTGGTCTTCCCATGAGCAGGGAGCTACTGCGCAGGGCAGCCGCCTTCTTCCTGACCCGCTGGTGGCTAGGGCCAGCCTTCTGTAGCCAAGCTCAGAGGCCCAGCCCAGGGCTTCAGGGGGGTCCTGCCCACCTTCCTGGTCTCCAGCTCCTCCAGCCCAGCTGGGCTTTGGCCTCCAAGACCCACCTCAGTGGGCCTTGTCTCTTTCTCACAGGCTTCGAGTGCATGTGCCCTGAAGCAGTGGAGGTGCCGTCCCTGTGGTGCATAGCTGGACCCTTACCCCAAGGGGCGAGCCCTGCCTTGCTCTCTGACCCTGGCTCTGCCCTTCCTGGAGCTCTCTAGACATGTGGCTTCCTCGCTGTCCCCCAGCCCTACAGGAGGGTCTTTGCACTCGCTCTCCCCCCTGCTTGGATGCTCGGTCCTCTGGACACCTCCTTCCTACATTCAGTCAAATACCCACTCATCAGAGAGGCCTTGTGAACCTGCTCCCGGCCCTCAGCCCTGTGCCTTCCTTCCCATCTGCACATGTCTGCTGACTGTCCATCTTCCCTACTGAACTGTGATCCCCATGAGGGCAGGGACTCTCCCCTACACACAGAGTGGCACCCGGCGCATGTAGGTGCTCAATGCACGTTTGCTGCACGTGTGAATACATGGATGCCTCACGTCCCAAAGGGTGTCTCCTCTCCAGTCCTGAGCTAGGAATGTCGCAGGCAGCTGCCTCTGCAACCCGAGCTCTGGACTGCCTGGAAACGGTCCTACCGGAGGCGGGTGCTTTCCCCGGGGTACTAAGCCAGAGAGGTGCCAGGAGAGGCACAGCCCTTGGGCAGAGACCAACAGTGAGGGGGATGCAGTGGCCCGGCTCTCAACTGTTGACACCACAGCCTGACCAGGACCAGGAGGGACGTGACTAGTCCTGGGTCGCACAGTAGGGCAGGGCAGACCGAGGCCGTGCAGCCTGCTGGGCTCTGGTGCAGGATCCTGAGTCTGCCGCCTGCAGCATCTGTGATCCCAGGCAAACCTTGTCACCACCCCAAGCCCCCGTGTCCTCATCTGAAAACAAGGGGCACAGAACGCACCGTCTTGCAGGGGTCGCGAGGTCTAATCGAGAGGCAGCATTTGCTGTCAGCATTGCGCTGGACACACTGAGGGTGCTCGTCTGTCTGTCTACTACATCTCCACCCATTCACTTACTCATAATCCTCATGTGATGACCCAAAAGAGTGGGCCCCGGTGGGGCTGTGGCGACCACTAGTGCCGTGTCTTGGGTGGACAGTGGGGCCAGCTGAGCACTTTGTGGAGGCAGGTGTTGGCCAAGTGAGAAGAGAAAGGCCAGATGTGATGGGAATGGTGAGAAGCAGCCAGCTGCCTAAGGATCAAGCCTGCACGGGACCCCTGATGCAGCAGAGCCAGCCACCTGCTCAGAGCAGGGTCAGTCTTACTGGCCTTGGAGGGCAGGGGGCAGGGCCCCAGGTGTCTTCAGGAGGCCACACCTGTGAGTAAGGCTCCAGGCTGCATCAGCACCCTTCAGGACCCTGCCCCAAGGGCCCTGGTCCTGCACCAGCTGCCCCTGATGGTCCCCAAAGCCGGTAGCTTCAGAGGTAGGGTCACACGAGGCCCAGGACCAGGGCATCCTGGGACTCTTCCAGGAGAAGGCTGCTTCCAACCTACTGCCAGTGTGGTGGGATCCCAGCTAAGAACTTCTGGGACCTCTGCTTGCCCAGCTCCAGGCTTTCAGACAGGTTGTCCTGACTGGAGGGAGGTGGCCCAGGCTGGGAAGGGTGAGGCTCCTCTGACAGCCAGGAAAGGATGGAGCAGTGCCCTTCCCAGGAGGCTTGGGGCTCAGGTAGGAATGCCTTTCCTCTTTCCCGGCCTGTTTCCTCATCTGTACCGTGGGGGTCAGGCTACAGTGTGACGTTGAGGGTTGTGCCACGTGGACTACTCAGACGGCCCAAGGGTGCATGGTGGGTGCTGTGCCTTCCCGAGCTCTTGGGGAGCGCCTGGCAAGGGTGGGGCCGCCACTGAGGGACCCCTCACTGACCCTCAGCATGCCCGCAGTAGAGACCTTACTCTCAGGTCCCAGACCGGCCTGTGGGCCTCCTGGAAGCTCTCGCTCGCTGCCACACAGCTCAGGCCCGGGCAGGGCCTGGCTCCTTAACAGTTTGTGGAACCCCTGTGTCATCTCTGAATTTCTGGTTAGGAGGGTCCTGGGGCTGGCACCTTGTTAGGTGGGAGGCCTAGGAAACCCGGCCATTGCTGTAGGGCAGGCCAGACCTCTATGACACCCACCAGCTGGTAGGGCCCTCAGAGATGCTGAGCGGATGCAGGAAGCAGTTAGATAAAGCCCTACACTGTGCCCACCACACCCACACATGACAGCAGGCCCGTGTTTACACCTTTCACAGTTTAGCAGCATCCCAGGCCAACTTTCCCTCTGGCTGAAATATCGTGATGTGCACGTCCTTAGAGTGCCTTCAGAGGGGCTCCCCACTTGGGGTCTCGGGCAGCAGGCCCAGAGTGGGAGATGGGTCCCCGTGGGGTCTCAGGGTGCAGGTCCTGATGGGGGGGATGGGTCCCCACGGGGTCTTGGGGCACAGGCCCTGATGAGGAGGATACTCCCTTCCCTCCCTGTGGTCCATTCTCCTGCTGGGCCTGGGTAGTGAGGGGCAGGAGCCGGGGAGGTACCACTGGAATTCCGGCGGGGGGTACGCTGCCAGCTTCACGGGCAGTTTCACCAGCTCATCTCCTGCCGTGGCCTCCAGGACGGGACCCTTGAGCCACTCGACGCTGATGAAGGGCTTCTCTGCCAGATGGGAGGTATCAGTGTAAAGCTGGGGTGGGCATCACTGACCCACCACCACCCAGGGGTTCCTGGCCACCTCCAGCAGCCAGACGCCTGCAGACTGGGGCCCGTCCTGCCCTCTGGGGTGTGGGAACTGGGCAGGCCGTCCACTCATGGCCCTCCCTTCCCTCTGGCTGGACTCCACACTGCTTGGGTGCACCATGACCTCTGACCCTGGGGCCCCCGCTGCACAAGGACCCTTGTTCCCCAGGCTTGATGCCTGACGCCTGACCCAGCCCAGGCCATGCTGGGCACAACCACCCGACCCCAGGCTGTACCGTGCACAATGACCTCGGTGCTCTCCCGGAATCGCTGGATGCCGTTGTTGGCCTCGCACACATACGGGCCCAGGTCATGCTGGCTAACGTTGTGGATGGTCAGGATGCTGGAGAGCTCTGTGTGAGTCTGCTGGGAGCGCCGCTCTGGCACCCACTTACCCCGCTCTGCCTGCCCGTGCCCAGGGGAAGCCCAGGGTCAGAGCAGGCGGGCTCTGGCAGAACTGACCACCAAATGCACACACCCCGGCCCAGCCAGCAGTGGCTCCGGAAGCCTGGGACACAGACCCAGAGCTTTCCTTGGGGTAGGAGGACGCCTCCATCAGACTGGGGCTCCTGGGGCACCTGGGTCTACACGTTCTCTATGCAGAGGCCAGTGTGTGCCCAGCCAGGGCAGGCGTGGACAGTGAGTGTGGACACAGGGCAGGTGTGGGCAGTGATAGGGACTCCTGGGGACGGTGTGAGCCCAGCCCCTGGCAGGGCTGCTGACCTCACCTGCTTCCCTGGATAGTCCCAGTCAAAGGTAACACCCGAGTTGAATTCGGCCCACACGGTACAGTTCAGGACCAGCTTCTCCCCAACCAGCAGCTCCAGTGACTTCTTGGGGAACAGCTGGATGTCATAGAGCTCGTTGCCTGGGGACACAGGCACAGTGACCCCCACGCCCCTCACAGGATGGTGCACACAGAGTGCAGAACGCAAGGCGCACACTGAGACAGCCCCACTCCTGGGAATTGGGGTCCCTGTCCTCTCCCACGATCCTCCCAGCACCTCCTCCCTCACCCGGCAGCCCCACCTGTGATGTGCACGAGGAAGGGGTTGGAAAGGAAGGCCTGGCCGCCCCAGGTGGTCTCACACTGCAGGTACAGGGCGTCGCGCAGCAGTGGCGTGGGCACCCGCATGCCCCGGCGGTCATCCCACACCACCTCCTGCCCATCAGGCTGCAGGGCCGAGCTTTGCTGCAGGACATGGTGGCCATCAGGGCCTGGCAGCTCCCTTCCTCCTGGCCACATGAGCGGCACCTTTCCCAGGGATGGGAGAGGAGGGCCCGATCCCAGGGTGGGGTGAGGACGGGGTTGTACCGAGCGCAGCGTGACGTTGAGGCCGGGGATGGACACCAGGCAGGGCACCCACATGGAGTCCTTCCTGTTGACCAGGAGCGTGTCTGGCTTGTTGATGAATGGCTGCTCCAAGTCTGAGGGGAGGGGGCAAGTTGTGGGCGGGGTAGACAGGAATCAGGGGGTCTCTGCCCAGGTTGGGGCGGTGGGGCAGCCCCATGGGGTCGGTAGGCCGGGGGTAGGGATATAGGAGCCAGCTGCCCCTCTGGGACCCCAGGCCCTGTCCACGCCTCCTGGCGGCTGTGGGAGCGGATGGGCTGGGCCCCTCACCTCTCACGAACACGTAGGTGCTGGCTGCAGTGGTGCCCTCGATGCGGGCTTTGATGTACTTGTAGTAGCAGCGGTAGCGGCCCGTGTGGTTGGCGTGGGCCACAGGCAGCAGCAGCACTTTGCAGTAGGGCCTGGCGTCCGTGCCCTCGCAGTCTCGCATGACCCCCGTGTCCTCGCTGTCCTTATCCTCTGTGGCCGGTACGTCCTGAGCCCCTGGCCAGGCCCACTCGAGGGGGTGCTGCCCCCTGGCAGAGGACGCGGGAGGTCAAGAGGGGCCCCCGCTGCAACCCCGGGGCACAGTCCTTGTGGAGACTCCCTTGGGACAAGCCCACAGCTTGTCTCATCCGGAAGTCAGGACAGCCCAGCATTTGTGCGCAGTCCGCGGACCCAGCCCAGGGCAGGCACTCCCTGAGGCCCCCGGGGCCTCTGCCTGGCTCCCGGGCCTGCGTGTGGCAGGATGGCCTGCAGAGAAGCCGGGCCTCGGACCATAGCTGGGGCTGCAGGGAGGATGCCATCTCTGGGGCCTGTGTGGGTGACCTGTGGTCAGTGTGGGGTGACCCAGGGTCTACTGGGTGATCTGGGGTCAGTGCAGATGACCTGGGGCTAGTGAGGGGTGGCCTGGGGTCACTGTGGGGTGACCTAAGAGTGGGTGCAGGGTGACTGATCCGTGTTCCACGTGAAATGACAAGGGGGGGTGTGGTGAGGTGGGGTGGGTGCAGGGTGCCTTGTCCGCAGGGCAGGGGATGGTCTGCCCTGCAGGTACCCACACCCAGGCTCCCCGGGAGCCCCTCTAAGCCTAGAGGCCTCTGCCCTGGGAGGGGCTGCCATCTGGGTCCTCAGCCACCACCTCCTGCCTCCTTGGCCTGCCAGGCAGTAGGGACCCAGGTGCCTGCTTCCCTGGCGGGGCTGAGTACCTGCAGGAGATGGACAGGCTATCACTGGAGTCAATGATGTACGTCTCCTCCGTGATGTTTAGGGCCGGGGGGGTCATGGAGTAGCCACTCGCCAGGCCTGGGGTGGGAGACACGGTTAGTACGGCGCTGGGTTGTGAGTTCACATGATGACGTTGAGCGGGCGCTGACGGGCCTTCCCTGCCCACAGGAGCAGACCCTTCCCCAGGGCAGCGGCCACCCTGGCTCTCGGCCCTAAGCAGCACTGACAAGGCCCCAAGACAACCGGTAACCTCCACCTCAGGCTGACCCTTGCCCCCTGCTCCCTGCCTCTGGCTACAGACCAGGCCCAGCCCCAAGTGAGCTGCGAGCCAGGCCTGGACTGAACGCTGACCTCTGGCCCCACATTAGCTGAGCTGCCAGCATGAAGTCGATGGGGAGACCGAGGCCTCATCCTACGCTGCGGGCGGCCTGACGTGCTTCGCCTTGGCACTGCGACCCCCACATGTGTGCCTGAAGGCCCCTCTCGAACTTCAGACACGCGGTCACTGCTCTTGCACAGACCCCCCAAACGCCAGAACTGAGGGCCTCTGCTTTCCCCGAAATTCTGCCCTCTTGAGACCAGAACTGTCACCTGCCCTCTCCCAGGTCCCATGGAGTCCACCTCATGTGTCCCTGGCTCCATCAGCTTCTGTCCAACCTCAAGGTCCCCACTGGCTGCCCCAGCTCCTCCAGGCCCCCCTTCCTCAACTCCCCATTCTTCCCACAGGGACTGTCCCCAAACACACAGAGAACCCTGCCTCGCTTGGTTGAAAACCCTCCTGAGGCCCTCCAGGACCCTGGCCCTGCTGCCCACTGTCCTCCCCCAGTGGGATGGTGCATGTGTGTGTGTGCATGTATACGTGCACACGTATGCATGTGTATATGTATGAGTGTGTGTGTGTATACGTGCACATGTATTCATGTGTATATGTATGCTTGTGTGTACACATGTCAATAGGTGTGGGTCTCTGTTGTGAACGTCTGTTTCTGTGTGGGCTTGGATCTGTGTGTGGGGCTGGTGTGTGAGTGGTGTGTGTGGCTTTGTGTGTGCATGCCAGTGTGTGTGTCTTTGACATGTGAGTGTATGCGTGCACATGGACTTGTGTGTGTGTGGGATCCTGGTGGGGGCGGGAGCAGGCCTTGGGGGAGGTCTAGACCTGGAACTCTGGCAGATGCATCCTGCCAGGACCATCCTGAGACAACAGGAAGAGAGGACTGTGTGGCTGGGGGCCCAGGGCTGCGTCCTGTCCCTCCCTTCAAGTCCCTGTCCTCTTGGGGGGGGGCACAGTCCACTATCCTGCCCCAGCCCCAGCCTGCTCTAGTCCCACAGGTCGGGCTCCTCTGCCCTCCCCAGCCCAGCTCCCGGAGGCCCAGGGTCCCGCCCTGGCAGCCAATGGGGAGGCAAAGCTCGGGGACCCTCACTGCAGTTGGTTCTACACCACCCTGACCCCAAGCCGCCCTAGGAAGTGGCACCTGGGCGGCACGCTCCACACCCTAAGATCCCATTTTGGCATCACGAGGACAACACAGCCACCAGCCAGGACCCAGTCCTCCTTTTCCGGCTGGCCAAACTCTTCTAGGTACCACACTACCGTGGGTCAGAGGCAGAAGACCCTCACCGAGCATCTAGTCCCACTGTACAGACAGGGAAACTGAGGCCCTCCAACTGGACTGCGCTGTCACCCTCAGAAGGCAGCTCTCACCTGGCCAGCTGCTGTGACTGTTGTAAAATCCCTCCTTAGCTTGAACTCGGTGGTCCTCCTCCTAGCACTCAGGCTGGTGGCCCTGCCCTGGCCCCGAGATGGAAAGGCAGTCTGGGCTCTGCCCCCAGGGGCCTTCTCCATGTGGGCTCTGCCAGAAGGTCCATTCCCCCCCAGGTCCGCTCCACAGCCCCCATTGTGCATCCTTGGGGCTGCTGGGGAGACAGCTCAGTCCCACAAGAGAAGGCAGCCTTGCCAGGGCCGGGGAGGAGCCTGTTGCGGGGAGGCTCCCCTTGGGTGGTGGGGGACGGGAAGGAATCCCTGGGGGGGCACCTCTGAGCTCCTTCTCCTCGAGGGAGAAGCAGGATTTTCCAGGCAATGGGAAGTGAATAAAGCCACACCAGGCAGACAATGGCCTCTGAACTACAGAAGGGAGGAATGGTGGGCTTGGGTTTGGATCTGTGGGGGATGAAAGAACTGGCCTTTCTGTGGACCAGTTAGGGGTCAGACCTGCAGCCAGCGTGTGGGCACCAGAGGAGAGGTGCAGCGGCCAGCAACCACCTGCCCTGGGCCCGTGCATGCACCATGGTAAGGCCTGTGGTGTTGCCCTGGGGAGGTTGAGGGTCCTCTTCTCTGGGGTGCACATCTGGCACCCTCAGCTATGGAGCTGTGGCAGATGTCAGCCCAGCTTCCTTGGGTGGCTCCTCTTTGCTTCCAAGATAAAGCAAGGCAGGCCAGGCCTCTCCCTCTGCCCACTCCCCTTCTCTCCAGCTTCATCTCCTGACACATCTCTGAGAGGCACAAACCTCTTACCACTGTCCCGAAGTGCCAGGCTTTTCACATCTTGAAGTCTTTGCCTTCCTCATCTTTTTGCCCGGGACATTTGTACTCCTTCCCTCCCATGGAATTCTTTCTTTAGGGTCTAGTTCATGAGTCCCTTCCCTGTGGAGCAGTCATCATTACTCAGGCAGTATTGGACTCGGCCTCCTCGGGGCTCCTGGTTAAATCACTTATCGGACTGAATTGTAGTTTTCTGGTCACATCTGAACAGAGGCTTATTTTATTGATCTTCCTAAGCCCAGTGCAGAGGAGATACACACCAAAGATTGAGGGGATGGATTCAAGAATGGTAGGATGGGGTCAGGCCCAGTGGCTTAGCGGTTAAGTGTGCGCACTCTGCTGCTGGCGGCCCAGGTTCGGATCCCGGGCGCGCACCGATGCACCGCTTCTCCGGCCATGCTGAGGCTGCGTCCCACATACAGCAACTAGAAGGATGTGCAGCTATGACGTACAACTATCTACTGGGGCTTTGGGGGGAAAAAAAAGGAGGAAGACTGGCAATAGATGTTAGCTCAGGGCCGGTCTTCCTCAGCAAAAAGAGGAGGATTGGTATGGATGTTAGCTCAGGGCTGGATCTTCCTCACCAAAAAAACAAACAAACAAAAAAGAATGGTAGGATGGATGATGGAGAAGCAGGTGAATAAATGGATGGCTGGGTTGGTGGATAGGTGGAAGGATGAGTGAATGGATGGGTGGATGTGTGGATGGATGGATGGGAGGATGGATGGATGAATGGACAGATGGGTGGATGGCTGGATGGGTGAGTGGATAGATGGATGGGTGGGTAGATGGATGGATGGGTGAGTGGATGGATGGATGGGTGGATGGATGGATGGATGGGTGGGTGGATGGATGGATGGGTGGATGGATGGATGGATGGGTGAGCGGATGGATGGATGGGTGGATGGATGGATGGATGGGTGAGCGGATGGATGGATGGGTGGATGGATGGATGGATGGGTGAGTGGATGGGTGGGTGGATGGATGGGTGGGAGGGTAGATGGATGGATGGATGGGTAGATGGATGGATGGATGGGTGGATGGATGGATGGGTGGGAGGGTAGATGGATGG